ACCCTGATTTTCTCTTAGCGTTCATGTTTATCCTTTTAGGCAGGTGCTAATATGGGCTACTGCCCTCAGTTTGATGCTGTTCTAAAAGAGATGACTGGCGAAGAGACTTTATATATGTTCGCACGAATTCGTGGAATCCCTCGAGAGGATATACCTGAAAAGGTAAGCGAGAAGCTGAAGACGTCTTAATGACGAAACAAGTGCAGTTTTATTAATCAATTAGCGCAAGCAAATTTTGCTTACTTTTGAGAACTATTCTATATAGGTCGATGCTGTAATTCATACAATTGGTATTGGAATGTATGCGAAGAGGCAAATCAAAGGCTATAGGTAATGATTATTGAATTTAAGCATTTAGTACTTGATGTGCTAAGTGCCAGCCTGAAAGTCGAGCAGTTTCATTAAAGGCCAATATTGATTTGCTAAACTTTGTTATCGAAATCCAAGGACTTAAATCTCAACACTTTGTGAAAAAGAAGAGTTTAATTCATCTATTGTTAAGTGGCGGCAACAAGCGTCGTCTTTCACTTGGAATAGCTTTGATAGGATTACCATCAGTACTGCTGCTCGATGAACCCACAACAGGCGTGGATCCGAAAGCTCGCAGAATAATCTGGAATATTTTTGCGAGGGTAAGAATTAGAAATGCCTTAAGGTGGCTGGCAAATTATTACGCATCTGATAAAGATTCAATCTCTCGGAACGTCGTTAGTGTTGACGTCGCACAGCATGGACGAATGTGAAGCATTATGTACGGAATTGGCGATTATGGTGTATGGTGAGTGGAAAATACTAGTAAATCAATATGTTAGAACTCGCTTAAGTCCAATTCGAGAGTATGTATGCCATGATGCATTAGGCTCGTGCAAACTATGTCTACTTTTCCTCCTGCATAGATTTGGATGTCTTACTTTGCGTTGAAAAAAAACGCATTTTTTGATTTTTCTGATAGTCGCAAGTTCAAGAAAATGCACTAATTCGATTACTTGAATAGCGAATATTTTGAAACATCAACACGATTATTCGGCTAGTATAGTTTTGGAACTGAGATTCGAAAACCATTCGATCGTTCAAATTCCTGAGTAGTCATCAAATATGGCAGAGACTGGGTCTTTCTGTTTGAATAAACGTATTCGAATAAGTTGGTTGCTTGCAATTCAAAGTCGAAAATTTGAAAAAATCCACTCGTTCTGTTATTCGAAAGTTTTCATATTCAATCATGCCCAATTATTCGATATTTTGAGTAATCGAAAATGCAGGACCTCCGCTATTCGAATATTCGGATTTGAACATTTAAATGGCGATTTTTACGGAGATTACATCACGAAACAATGTTCGATA